GTTTGGTACATTAAACCCGTTCTTAGGGTGGTACTCGAGGATGTCCGACAAATCGTGGTTCTCGCAATCCCGAATATGAAGAAGTGAAATGTTATTATTGTCATGAATTTGTGCACCCTAAGCATTCATGTCCTCAGTTGAGAAGAAGAATCAAAAGAGCCACTGCATAATCGTCTGACATGGTCACTTCACTATTGTGCTGAGGAGAATTCTCGACTTACTGAAATAGAGAAACCTTCTTCATTCGTTGCCGTCTTTGCAGATATAGGTAATTCCGTCACAAGCCTCATATCTAAAGGCACCAGATGGGTCATTGATTTAGGTGCGTTAAATCATATGACAGGTAACCCAAATCTTTTTTCCACCCTTGACCCTCATACACTTTCTTCTTGTGTCACTATCGCTGAGGGGTCTACTACTCGTGCCTTTAGTTCTGGTTCACTCAGTCTTACTCCTTTTATCTCGTTACGCTCTGTACTAAGCATACGAAACTTTGCTTTTAACCTAAACTCTATTAGCAAACTTACTAAATCATTGAATTGCATCATCTCATTCTTTCTAGACCATTTTATTTTATTGTGAAAGATCACTAAACGAAGTCCTTGGTGAAGGACGTGAATCTGATGGCCTCTATGTTTTTTACTCTCCTACATCTATGTCACTTGTTTGCACCCCCTCCTCCTTTGCACTATATACGCATTGTCGTCTTGGCCATCCTTCCCTCAAGAGTTCTAAAAGATTGGATCCTCAGTTTTCAAGGTTGCCATCCTTATTTTGTGAGTCATGTTAGTTTGCTAAACATTGTTGTAGTTCTTTATTGCCTAGAATAAACACGAGAGATGCGACCCCATTTAGGTTGGTTCATTCTCATGTCTGGGGTCCTCGTTCAGTGTCGTCAAAATTTGGTTTAAGATATTTTATTACTTTTATTGATGATTTTTCTCATGTCACTTTGATATACTTTATGAAAAGTCGTTCTAAATTTTTCAACATTTTTTTGTCATTTAGTGTCGAAAGTAAAGCTCAATTTTTTACTACAATTCAAACACTTCAAAGTGATATCAATCTATATGCTTGAAAATGGGATTCTGCATGAAACGTCATGCGTTAATACACCAGCTCAAAATGGGATTGCAGAACATAAAAATTGACACCTTCTTGAGGTTACACGAGCATTACTCTTTCACATGCATGTTCCTAAAATTTTTGAGCTGATGTTGTGTCCACTAACTGTTTTTCAATCAATCGAATGCCCTCGGCCCTATTGGATTAATTCCATTCGATTTTCAGTTCTTTTACCAGAAAAATCCATTTGTCCTTTAACACCTAAAACTTTTTGGTGCACTTGTTTTGCCTGGGATACAAGACCTCATATCACCAAGTTAGATCCCAAGTCTCTCAAGTGAAACTGTATTTTTCTTGGGTATTCCAGGGTGCAGAAAGGGTATCAGTGTTTTTCTCCTGGATCGTTATGTTTTGTCAAGGGATGTTAGTAACACCTTCTATATTTTTCCTGTTCGAGAGTCTCCATCTCCAGAGGAGGAAGATTTCTTGGTATATTCTGTTACTCTCACTAGGCCTACTTCCAATCCACCTCAAAAAACTCGGCCACCCATTACAGATATATACTCGACGCTCTCAATCAAATCAAGAGGTCATCACAGACTTTGATTCACATCCTCTGCGTGCTACTCCGTTGGAAGACCCTATGCCCAGTCTAACCTCTACACATGTCCCCGAACAAAAAAAAAAAAACTCTAATGACCTTCCTATTTCACTTCACAAAGGTAAGGAGATGTTTGTTTATGGAATTTCTCAAAAAAATTCCAACATTTTAACTCAACCACTTTTTTTAACTCAACTTTAACTCAACCCCACTATCATCAAAATTATCAATATAATTAAATAATATCAATCAATCATTCATACAATCACATCAACCATAATTCACTATTCATCCACTCACATTATTTTAACTAACCATCACTTCAAATCTCTCTCTCCTACTTTTACATCAAATTAATTTTAATTATTTTATTTTAAATATTATTTTAATATACCCACTAACATCTAACCATACCACATTTTTCAAAATTAACCAAACCAAACCAAAAACTCAAAACAAAACCAAATATTTTTATAAACAAACATGCTCTAAAGATCTTGCACTTATCCTATTGCTTCTGTTGCGTTTTATGACAACTTGTCTGCTTCTTCAAGCTCTTTTATTCTCAAACTAGAATTTATCTCTATTCCTACATCTGTTGGCGCTGCTTTAGCTCATCCTAGATGGCAAGATGGGTGATGCGATTGAGGAAATGAATGCTCGTGATCATAATGGCACATGATTACCTGTTGGCAAAAAGTCAATTGGATGTAAATGGGTCTTCACTCTTAAAGTTAACTCTTAGGCACGTCTTAAAGCTCGGTTAGTAGCTAAAGGCTATGCTCAAACTTATGGCACCGATTACTCTGAGACCTCTCCCGTGGCCAAACTTACTTATTTAGTTGCTCATCTCCCTCTGGGATCTGCACCAACTCGACATTAAGAATGCGTTTTTTGATGGCTTTCATTATGGGAAGGTATGTCATCTTCATAACTCTCTGTACAGGTTAAAGCAAAGCCCCCAAGCTTGGTTCGACAGATTTAGCCAAATTGTTTTGAAATATGAGTTGGTGAGATGTAAACCCGATCACTCGGTATTCTATAGGTGATCAAGTCTTGGAATCATTTTATTGTATGTTGATGATATTGTTATTGCATGGAATGATAATGATGGGATCTCCAACCTAAAATCCTTCCTCTACGTTTTCAACAAAGGACTTGGAACGCTTGAAATGCTTTCTGGGAGTAGAGATAATGAGAATAGAGAGATTTTCCTTTGTTAGAGGAAGTATGTGCTAAACCTTCATAATGAAACTAGAGAAGTTAAGGCAAAACCATGCAGCACTCCGATGACACCAAACTTGCAGTTAGGAAAAGGATGATGGTGAGATATTTCATGATCCAAAACGATATCGAAGACTTGTAAGGAAGCTGAATTATCTCACCATAACATGCCCTGACATATCCTTTGAACTTGGGTAGCAAGTCGATTTATGCCTTCTCCGACCGTTAGACATTGGGCACTTCTTGAACAAATTTTGTGCTACTTGAAGAGGGCTCCTGGACAGGGATTATTCTATAGGTGACAGAGTTATCAAAAAGCTAGGACAATCCAAGCATATTGTGATGCTAGGCAGGTTGGAAAGACGATAGTAGATCAACTTCTGGGTACTGTATATATGCGGGAGGCAATCTAGTTTCATGGAGAAGCAAGAAGCAAAATGTTGTTTCTCGTTCAGTTGCTGATGCAGAGTTTAGGTCGATGGCCGATTCAGTATGTGAGGTAGTATGGATACATCAGTTACTAAAGAAGCATGGATTAGCATATTAGAATTTGCTCTCCGAGCAACACTTTAGTGTGACAACCAAGGAGCAAACTACATTGCATCAAATCCTGTATTTCATGAACGGACCAAACACGTCGACATAGATTGTCACTTTGGATATGCACTTAGGCTAACGTTCTTCACAAAACCCAACAAGAACGATGGGAAGCGGATAATTGGCGGTTCGAGCCTACGTGATGACACTTGTGGCCCTATGAGGTGTTCATTATGAAGGCCATCCTTGTCTGTTTTCTCTATTTTCTGGGAGGTGGCAACGATAGAGATGAAAGGATGAAAAGCAATCAATTCTAGAATATCTTATGCTGGTTTTGGAATATTAATTGGTGCTTAATCTTAAGGATTTTACTAATTTAGTATCCCTTAAATGCTAATATTTTCTTACCCCCTTTTTTTTTTCTTACTGCCATTTCATATTAGCTATGTTTAGTATATAAGAGAGAGTGGTCAACAGGTTAAGTAGGAGGAGATTTATTTTTTAATAGTATAGTCTATTGGGTAAATTTCTTGCTGGGCTGGGCTGGAAATGTTTCATACTTCTTGTTTCATCCCTATTATTATCATCAATAATATTATTACCTCTATTTTTCTTGATCCTTTACTCCTAACAGTTTTTGCTTTGGGGGCACTCCAAACTGAAGTTTAACACATTATATCTGTCATTGTATTTTGGTTTAACAATTAAAATCTCTCTTGTCCACGAGTTTTTTATTTCATTTCATTTACTTTTATTCATTTGCAGACAGCCACTGAACAAAGTAAGTCACACAACTATAAAGTTGCAGAAGCATCATTCATTGTCTCAGGCCACTCTCCATAATTTTTGTCATAACATTAAAGTCACTGACCACCAAAGATAAAGAATAAGATACTGAAATCTTTTCAATTGGAAAGGCCTATCCACCCAAAAAATGTGATGATGTTTCGTTCCTTCAACATTGGTTCTTCTATACTATCTAATTACTGTTTGTTTTCCAGGTTGATGATAACTAGACAGGTTAACTTTGGGTTCAGTATATTGCTTCATAACTAAACTTGAAAAGGCATTTCATGTATTCCTATGTAATCATGACTAGATGATTACAGGAAACATACTACCTGAATAGCTCCATGGATATGTTTAGATATGGTACCACCATATAGCTAATTGACCATCCTATGCTATAGCGATGAGTAGAACTCAAAACAGAAAAAAGGACTACAAACTACATTATTGCATCTTTTATTCATCTTGTTTAGGAGACATGTCTGCTCTCATCCACTACTATGTGATCCACACTCCGCAGGTACGCAAAGAAAACGTTAATATGAAAGAATAACAACATTTAACATGAGATGAGGCCTTCCCCTCAGAACATGCAACAATACAGAACATTAATCCTCACTACTGTTAAGATCAGACAGGAAATAAATGTGCTGAAAATGTCCAATGGAGATAGTATGCAACCGTGCAGGTAAATACTGTCACATTAAAAGATTCCACGGAATGTACCATGAAAAGACAATATAAGTTCATCCAGATAATGAAGCTCACCAGTAAAAAATGAACATTACACCTTGTACTCGTGGACACGCATCCATTTCGTAGATGACCATTTGTTCCCTTTTATAACAGGACAACCACCTACAAAAGACCAAAATCATGTGCCAGGAGTACAATATGCAAATAAAGTAACATAAGTAAAGAAGACGACCATATAATGCATCTGCTAGCTAAACTAGCCACTTCAACCATTACTAAAAAGATACAACTCAGGCCCACAACTGACCATGTAAACTTGATGGATCCAAAGTTGCATCAGGCTTCATGCTCCAGAAAAGTAATGCATCGCCCATTTTTGGTTTGACCGAAAGTCCCCCTTTTCCACATTCAGATAGCTCATCCCACCATGGCAGAGAACTAAAATTTCCTTTTGCTGCTGGAAATACCGTCTCACCGCCTTCTTCAACATCTGACCTATAATTTTATGAATCAGAGATGTGGAACAGTGACTTGTAGAACATCGAAACAGAGAAAAGTTACTTACAGATACATAAGAACAGTTGCAATGCGTTGACCACCATTTTGAGTATTGAACTCATCCTGAAAGTAGTCGTAATGAGGCTCATATTTTTGGCCAACTTCATAATGAAGAACTTGAAGGCCTTCACCATGTTCTGTTGATTAAAGGAGATGTATTGAAGGCAAATGCGAAAAACTCAGATACATCAAGAAAGCAAAATAAATTAAATGACGACCAAATAACGGATTATCAGATGGGCAAGCAAAGCCAAACAATATCACATTGCCTGCAAATAGAGCAAAAGAATAGGAGATGTATTATGTATCATTCATGTACATAATAAATGAATGATATTATACAACTTTCTGTGAAAATAAGCTTCACTCATGGATACAGAAACCAAAATTCTGTACAGTAATAAACAATATCTTGTGCAATTTTGCCAATGTAACTAATTTGATCCTTTCACCTTATTCATGCAGGTCAAAGTATACAGCAGTAGTGAAGGAACCTAGCGGCCCTACAGCATATAAATACTCTACCTATATCTGGTAACCAAGGAAAACATCGAAGTACCAAGACAGATGTAAGATATCTTAAACCAGAACTGGCAGTGATATTTCAAACTAAGCCAAGTGTATCCCTGCACAAACTTTTAAGAAAACAATTTCATCTGAAGACATCAAAGTTTTGGATCCAGTAGCAAGTAAAATGCATACCCACAGGAATGAAGGTGAAATCTGCAATTCGTTTCTCTATTCTCTGAACAATCTTGTCACGCCCTCTTGCAAGAAATGTTCCAGAACTAGTACGTACTCTGCCGGGACAAAAGGCATGAAAAATCCAATGGAACAGCAAAAAAAGCGCACATGGATATTCAATTTTCTTTGTTGTATTAAAGACAATGTAAGTGAAACGGCTTCAAAGGGAACTTTGGAAAGCTGAATCATTTAGGTATCAGACTGGAAAGCAGACCATTATTGCTGATGTAGAAACGAAAAGAACTACTTAAGCCATAATAAATTTATGTGCTTCTAGAGCCGTTCGAAAATACATCCAAAACGTACTAGTAATTGGTGGCAAGGTAATAATCTACGAATTGGAGGTGAACAATACATACAATAGATGTTTCAATTAGTTGGCTCACTATGATGTTAATATTATGATGGAGTTATGTCAAGATGATTTCAGCAAGCGGAGAACTATTTACGGATCATATATAGCTGCTTGATAACCATGCGAGGCTGATCATGTAATTAAATAAATTCAATAAACAATATGATAGAAGTGAGGCTAAGCGTGGATGCAGCCATAACAGAACATATAATGTCAAACTAGATAGTCAACCAAGTTAGAGAGCCTCCAAGAAAAAGCTTTGAAAGGTTTTTAAGATAACTTGTTAAAGGAATATTGATTATAGAACCATTGTCTCATATGCCACTATGCTAAAAAGAAAGGATTTCAACAATATGAACTTCAGAAATGGAGCCGATGCCTGATAGGAAATTAGGTTGTGAAGACAATGGATGTGTAGAAGTGAAAATTAAGGCCATTTCATCTTTTTGATCAATTTTTAAATATCAGCCAGAGGACGGAACTAGTCTTGGCATACCTGCTATCTTTACTCTTTCCAGTGTCGCTATCAACGACAGTTGACTTTTCCATGTGCGGCTCAGCAATGCTAATAAGGTATTCACATTCCTCTTTAGACTGCCATGAAAGAAAAAAATATATATATATTTTACAAATGGAAATGCACATTTAGTGAAGCAGAAAATGTGTGTCCATAGAACCGACCTACAAACAGTAGTGATCTCTCTACGTATACATGAATTCATAAAGAAGAAATACAGCTGGTGGTTGCAGCCATCACCTTGATCGTGCTACCACTTCCACATCTCATTTTAAATTATCTCTAACCACCTCCTATTACCAGTTAAAAAGAAGATAAAGATACAAGTAATAAAAGTCAACAACTGCATTACACTTGAGAGTTATGATGAATTACCCACGTCCTACTCTGCAAAGTACAAGGTTTTACAACTCTCAGCCCAATATCATGGTCTGATCCAGACCATACGAGTTATAATGAATGGCAAGAAGATGCCAAAAGAAAAAAATTAATAAATAAATAAAAGTATGAGCTAAGGTATGCGCTGTAATAAATGCGCAGTTCCAGGAAGGACATGCATGTTTGGACTTCAGGGATACATCATCCGAATAGAGTCTTAAAAGCTAAATTACACTTTATGTACATAGGAATATGATAATTACCAAAAAATGATGAAAAATGGAGGCTCTGGGTTCCCAGGAAATAACTTCGACCCACTGATCCTTACTTTCTTCATCTTCATGATTTCTAGTAAAACACAAAGCAATTGAATTCTAACAC